AGTAACTCAGCTTTTGACCAGATGACCTGGGTTCAAAAACTGTGTGACCTAGGCAGACTATATAACCTTTCTGAGCTTCATTTGGTTCTCTATAATATGGGTCAGTGATAAACGCCTCATATAGTCGCTGGAGAATGAAATTAGATTGTACAGAGTGTTTGGCACCTAGTAATGCTCAACAATGATGGGTTTATTGGGCTGTCTTCAAGGCCAAGGTCAGGCCCCTCTCCACACTACTCCTATTCCCAGAGAAGTGCAGAACAGGTTCTAGTGACTTCACTCTAACCCCCAGGATAATAAAGCCAGAAACTACCCAGCTCCCAGAGTGGATCCAGGGAGCCTGTAACTGTCAGCCTATCCCCTCCCTCACCCATCCTTCACCATCTGGGTGCTCTGGATCTGCTGGACTGCTCTGGGATCAGCTCTGGCCAGAGGGGCATCAGTGAAAGCCAGGCCAAGGTCTCTGAGGTCCTGGTTCAAGTTGGGGAGGTAGGATAAATGCAGGGAAGAAACCCAAGTCAAGGTCCCCAAAAGTAGGCTTGCCTGTTAGGGGAGCCCACGTGGGAAATCAGCACCAGAGGAGCACATGGTGCTCAGAGGAACCTCTTACCTCTCCCCAGGGGGTCAGACGCCATCAGGAACTTTCCAGGACAGTTAGTGCTCCAGGTCAGAGTTAGGGGGCGACCCGGCCTGAGGGCCCCGAGTTTGAAGAAACCTGGCTTTGCCGGGAGTGGCTTGGTGAAGGGCGGGTAAGGGGGAGAGAGGCGCTCGAATCCGTGGCGTTCTGCTGCAGGAAGTCCTCTGGGCAGTGTGGCTGGGCCTGGGTCCCACCGGGGAGTGGCAGCCTCCCAGCCTCCAGTCTGCCCGGGCAGCCCTGACATTGGGGAACAAAAGCTTTCGGTTCCTGTAGCAACGGCGGCTCCAGCTGCTGCAAAGTTCCGGGGAGGCGGGCGGAGGGCGGCTGAGTCACCGCCCCCTCCCCCCGCCGCCCTCGCGGCCCCGCCCCCCGTCTGCCTCCCCGCGGTGGGCGGGAGGGCCCCTCCCGGGACCGAAAGACCCCTGAGCTAGAGGAGGAGCAGCCTTCTTGGCCGGGTGGAGAAGGCGGGGCCGCACTCGGGGGAGCCCCCTCCCCTCGGTCCTGCCCACCAGCTCCAGAAGCTGGATGGAGGTGTGCGCCCTCCTGGGTACCAGAGCTCTGGGAGAGGGGTCCTTGAGGACCCTGCCACCCGGCCAGTGCATGGGCAGGGGACCCGAAGGCCCCGAGTGGGAGGTCCCCGCCCGCGTGGCGGCCTGGACTCGGCCCTGCAGCGAGCGCCCGGGAGGCGGAGGGTGAGTGACGGGCCGGCGAATTGGAGCTGCCAGGTGGATAAACGCGACCGCGGTGCGCACCGCCGCGCCCCTCCCCCACCCCCGCCGCCCCTCTCCTGCCCGCGGCCGGGGCTCCCGGCGCTCCGCCACCCAGCGCCGCTGCTCCCAGCCCGCAGGGCGCAAGGGGCTCGATCCCGGGAATCCCGGAGACCCAGCCCTTGCCCTGAGGTGCCCCCCGCCCCCGCTCTTGTCCCTGCCAGCTGCTGCGAAAGCCTCCGATTCCCTCACTGGGGCAGAAGGGCAAGCCCGAGACCGGGCGGGCCTGTGGGGTCTCAGTGTGCTTGAGCAGAGGGTGGGATTCTCGGGTCTGCGGGCGGGCGGCAGGCATGCGGGGGAGGTAGCCCGAGGAGCGGGGGAGCCCCCCCCCCGCAGCGCACACATCTCAGCCCACTGAAGTCCTGAGGGAGGAGGCCTTTTGATTATCCTCTCCATTAACCTCCTGACCCAGGAAGTTCTTCCTCAGAGCTGAGCTCCATACCTGTCCTCTCCAGCTCTTGGGGCACGTTTGTGATCTTACTGGGCTTGGAGGTGGCAAAGCCATTTCCGTGGTTCAGCCCAAAGGGCCTTTCCAGAGATACCGGTGGACCTCAGCAGGGAAGCAGGGAGAGTCTGTGAGGTTCTCAGGCAGAGGGGAGAAGGGGAAGGGACTGTGTGAGTGCTCTGCCTGGGCCAGGCTCTGTGCCAGGAACTCACTGGGAGGTTGAATGAGAAGGTGGACTCCATTGCACAGAGGGGGAAACTGAGACTCAGGGAGGGGGGATCACGGCTAATAACCACCTGCCCAGCCTGTGAGGTAAGGATCCTTCCAGGTCCCCTCCCAGAAGAGGCTCTCTCTGACTTAGCTTGGAATTGTGCTGTTTGCCTTATTTTATGGATGGGGAAGGATATTAAAATAAAGGGCCCCAGAGGTCTTATGTCACCACAGGAACCACGAGGGTCATACACACCCAGGGTGAAATTCCAGAATTGGTGTGAAGGGGGTGTCTGAAGGAGACTGATTGGAGGAGGGGGCTTGGGCAGGGTTTAGAGGTGGCTCAGTTGTACAGAAGCCAGGCTGTGTCTCTGAGGGTCTGGACATAGCACTTCTTGATGGGTCGGAGCTATGGAGGAGGGAGCAGCTGAGGACCAGGAGGTGGGATTGGGGGGTGGTATCTGAGCCCCCAGCTTCAAGAACACACAAAGGAAGGAGCAGCAAGTCAGATCCTGCCTGACACTTAGCTGGCATGTGCTAAGCCTCAAACAGCCAGCTACCTGTGTGTGTATTCACACGAGAGAGTACATTTGCATCTCTGTACAAGTGTACAAGTGGCTGGATCTTTACACCTTGTACATGTGAGTGCCTGTACCCTGGTGTGCGTATGAATTCACGCATTTGTGGCTTCACTGATCTGTGTGCGTGTCTGTGTGCGCATGTGTCTTCACGTGCAGAATGCCTGGGAACACCTGTCTTTTCATGTGTCTGTGCATATGTGCTTTTGTGTGCATGTCTGCATGGCACAGCAATGTTCCAGCTTCTGTGTGTGTGTGTGTGTGTGTGTGTGTGTGTGTGTGTAGATTCCTTACCCTGCTCTAAGTGGGGGAGGCAAGGCCAGTTATAATGAGCCCCCACCTTCCCTCTGCTGAGCTGCAGCTATGGCCTGAATTTTGCAGCCTGCTTAAAAATAATTGGGGGCAGCGGGGGGATTGGATGTCACTCATCATCAGCTCCTGGCTTCACCGGTGCTGCAGCAGGCTGGGCGGGCTGGACAGTTTGGGACACGCATGATGTGGGGCAGGGAAGGCCAGGGCTCTTGTGTCCCTTTTTCAGTTCTGGCGGGAGGAGTGGAGACACAGCCTGTTCTGACTTCTGCCCAATAACTCCACATGGGTCTTTGGAGGAGGCTGGGGTGGCTCCTCCCCAGGAAATGAGCCTGCCTTGAGCTTGTCCCCCTATGCTCCCTTTCCCCCATGGCTGGGGAGGGGCAAGTGCAGGATCTGGGGCAGTGAGGAGTTCCATGGATGGTGCACAGGGATTGGAATTCTGGGGTTCTAATTCCTGCCCTCCCACCCTCACCCCTCCAGCCACTGTTGAGGCTCCTAAAGAGCCAAGGGGAAATCTGTGCCTGGGGAGCCTCCGGGTCTTGGGAACATCTGGCCACACCTGTGAATTATCCTGTTTGTGACTCAGTTCCCAGGGCTAATGGCTTGTCCATCGGGCCTGAAGCCTGGGCAAGGAAGGGGACAGAGCAAGAGGCTATTGGTGGATGAGGGGGAACCCCAGGCTGGGGCTTCGGGTCCCGGCTTCCAATCCCACCTGGATCACTCTTGTGTGATCTTGAGCAGGTCGCCTCCCCTTTTGGAGCCTCATCTTTTCTCCTCTAATGTGGAGCAACCAGGCTCTAGGGGCTCATCCAGGGCTGTGAGCTCTGCTGCCGGCACGGAGGAGGGAGGCAATGGGGATCACCTCGGGGGCAGGGCTGGAAGCCGGACTGAGCCAGCCCAGGTGCCAGGCTCTGTTTTCTGGACAGCTAGGGTGGAGGCTGTGCAGGCTGTGGGCACTGGCCTGGCCCAGTGGGTGGGAGGGTGCCTGCAGGTGCCCTGCCCGCCAGGTTTTGTCCACTTGGGGCCTGACCGCCCTGTGTGTCTGTCAGGGTATGGCCTGAGCCCCTGGTTGCCTGCCCACACCTGGAGCACATTCACACCTGCTGGGGGTTCGGCTCAGCGCGGCACTTGGCGGGGAGGGAGAAATCAGTGAACTCTGGTCTCCACTCCTAGGAGCTTGAAGACTCCTGAGATGAACGAGCTAGCGCGGGGGAGACAACAGGGGATAGAGGTGCTGACTGGGGCTATGGACTTGCAGGCAAGGGCTGCGGGAGCTGTGAGCTGCGCAATAGCTTGGTGGCCTTACTGGGGGTAGTGGGCCATGAGCCAGGCCTTGGACGATAACCGCATGGCAGGAAGGGAAGAGGGGTTAAGGGGAATACTGCACCCATTTTGCAGGTGCCTCGCCCCGTTGCTTCCACCAGGAAATCCACCACAGCGGTACTCATGACGTTCATACTTGCGATGCCCTCCGTGGGCATGGCTCAGGTGTGCGCAGCCCCTGGCACACCGGTGGTAACTCCTCCCCTTTCTCGCCCACTCAGTAAAAGCAAGCGAGTGAGGATGACATTGTTCCGGGAATAACCTTGAATTGCTCTGATTTATAAAAAAGCAAATCGTTGTCAAACATTGCTCCTTTGACAATTACCGCTGGATTACGCGTGACACGCCTCACAGCTGATCACGATACACTGCGACTGAGAACGGGGGTTCTGGAGAATTCCAGTTGGGTGGTGGGGATGGGGCTAGATCCAGGTGTCAGGCCGGATGCCTGTGGCGGGTGGGACTGACCGAGGAATCACAGGGTGACAGAGACAACAACGGATGTTTCTTAAGGGCTTCCAGAGTCAGGCACTCTCCCGCGTGCCTCCATTTTACAGGTAAGGGAACTGAAGCTCCAAGCAGTCGAGTCCCCTGTCTAAGACCACACAGGTGGATGTGGGTGACTTCAAAGTCTTCCCCCAGAGGCCCACCCCCGGCAGCGAGGAGGCCGCGGGAGACCGAGAGCAGTGCCTGGGACTGCTGACCGCCGTCTCTCTCCACAGGGCAAGGGACATAGGATGACCCCAGCCTGTCCCCTCTTACTATCTGTGATTCTGTCCCTGCGCCTGGCCGCCGCCTTCGACCCCGCCCCCAGCGCCTGCTCCGCCCTGGCCTCGGGCGTGCTCTACGGGGCCTTCTCACTGCAGGACCTCTTTCCCACCATCGCCTCTGGCTGCTCCTGGACCCTGGAGAACCCTGACCCCACCAAGTACTCCCTCTACCTGCGCTTCAATCGCCAGGAGCAGGTGTGCACACACTTTGCCCCCCGTCTGCTGCCCCTGGACCACTACCTGGTCAACTTTACCTGCCTGCGGCCTAGCCCGGAGGAGGCGGTGGCCCAGGTGGAGGCAGAGGCGGGGCGGCCAGAGGAGGAGGAGGAGGCCGCAGCAGGGCTGGAACTGTGCGGTGGCTCGGGCCCCTTTACCTTCCTGCACTTCGACAAGAACTTCGTGCAGCTGTGCCTGTCGGCAGAGCCCTCGGAGGCCCCGCGCCTGCTGGCGCCTGCCGCCCTGGCCTTCCGCTTCGTCGAGGTCTTGCTCATCAACAACAACAACTCCAGCCAGTTCACCTGTGGTGTGCTCTGCCGCTGGAGTGAGGAGTGCGGCCGCGCTGCCGGCCGGGCCTGTGGCTTCGCCCAGCCGGGCTGCAGCTGCCCCGGGGAGGCGGGGGCCGGTCCCGCCACCACTACCACGCCTCCAGGCCCTCCGGCTGCCCACACTCTGTCCAATGCCCTGGTGCCTGGGGGCCCGGCCCCACCCGCTGAGGCCGATTTGCATTCAGGGAGCAGCAATGACCTGTTCACCACCGAGATGAGATATGGTGAGTCTGAGCAGGGCCCTGGTGGGGTTGGGTGTGCCCAGGGGGCCCTCTGGGGCCCCGTCTTGGCAGATCCCCAGGCCATTTGTGTGGTCCTTCACCCCTGTCCCCTCTGTGTCTGTCCTTGTCCCGATGTTGGGGGACTTACTCTCGAAGAGTTTGCAGTCTAGGTGGGTGAATGGGGGGCAGAGATCGGCCAATGCGGTGTGGTGAACCGAGGGAGAGGACTCCACACACTGGGATCAGGGAAGTGTGCAATCAAGGAAGGCTTCCTGAAGGAAGTGATACAGGAGCAGAGATCTGAAGGACAAGTGGAAGCCAGCCAAGCCAAAGAAGCGGTGAGGGCATTCCGGGCAGAGGGAGCAGTGCCAACAAAGGCCCCAAGCTGGGAGTGACCGTGGCAGGTCCTGACACTGCAAGTTGACAAGTTTGCCTGGAGGCTGGAGAGTAGGCAGGGAGCAGGGATGTGTTCCTGTCCTCACAGGTCAGTGATTTTTGGCAGTGGCCCCAGGGTCAGGGCAGAGGGCGGTGCCCGGGTGAAGAGGCCTGGGCTTCAAGGCTGCCTTGGAGGGCTGGGCTGGCTCAGCTCCCAGCATCCCCTCTCTCCCCCTCTGGGCCCATGTCTTCTGGGACCGAGGCTGCCAGCAGCTAGAGCTTCCTGCTGACTGGGCAAAAGCTCTGCGAGCCCTGAGTCCTACAGGCTCTTGCTCCCGCCACAGCCACCTTCTGCCGGCCCTCCTTCCTGCAGCTTCAAGGCCCCTAGCCCCTCATCTGGATCCCGTGTGCCTGCTGCACAGTGCCAGGCCTGAGACTGGCCAGGGGGCCTGGCAGGGAGTGGGGTGGGGAGAGGCAGATCTGGGTTCTGGTCCTCAGCTCTGGTACTGAAAGGGAGTTCCCTTCCCTCTCCGGGCCTTGGTTTCCCCATTTGGGGTAACAGGTCCTGGCCTTACCAGCATGAGGATGTCATGCAGGGCTGGAAGTCAGAAGAGGCATCTAGATCTGCCTGAGAGTATTTACAGGGAGGCAAGGGGTCTTGTGTGAGGGCCACTAGGAGTGTTGGAGTATGACCTGTCCCCTCCCCTGCTTTGGAGGCCAGAGCCCTGGAGTTGGGCACTGCCTTTGACTGTTCCCTTCAGCGGATCCCACTTTTTGGCATCAGTTTCTTCATCTGTAAAATGGGGAGATATCTCTGAATTAATTAGAGGGGCTAGTTATCATGACAGCGGCCTCTCCCAATGCAGTGTGGAGGGAGCTTTCAGCCTCCCCCAGGAAACATCTGGCACCATGCCTATCCACGGCAAATGCCCAGTGGCCTTGCTCTGGCCTCTCCCCCTGGCCAGCTTGGCCTTTAACATTGGTCGATGAAGCCATCCGAGTGACAGCCAGGCCGTGGGCAGGTTACGGGCCCTGGAGGCCGGCCTGGGATTTAGTGCCTGCGGGAAGAAATTGAATTTCTCTTCTTTGTCGAACATCAGCGGAGAGCGCCAGGCGTTTATCAGGAGGTTTATGGCTCTTCCTGCCTGGTGGTCGCTGCCTATCACTCTGTGGGGGCCTCCCCCATTGTGCTCAGCAGAGGGCAGCCTCTTTTGTCTGGCTTTCCCTGTGGTCCCTTGGCCCAGTGGTCCGCAGTGGATGGAGCAATGCTTTACCCTCACGGACGGGCACATCTGGGCAGGCTGCCATGTGGAGCACAGAGCCAGGAGCAGCCAGCTGGGCTTGGTGGAAGCCGGAAGCGGCAGTTGGTTGGTAGTTGGGGTGTCTTTGGGGGTCAGAGAGGGCTAGTGATGGGAAGGCCACCATGGTCCCCATCATCATCACAGCCTCTGCAGGGGCCTCTGAGACTGGGGATGGGTGGAGATTGGATGCTGCCTGTCCCTGGGCATGAGGCCTGGTATCATCTCTGAGCAGGGAGCCCCAGGCTCCCAGCTGTTCCACGTCTGACCTCAGCTCACGCCCCTTGTCCTGCTTGGCCTGTTTTCAGGCTCTTTGTGGGGGTTGCCTGCAGGGAGGGCCCTTGTGGGGAGTTGCCAGGGGGTGAGGTTACATCCCTCTTCCTAAGTGGGCTTGCACAGCACACTGCTGCCCAGACTTCCTTCCTCTCCCCTGGCAGGCAAGAGACTTTTCCCCTCTGCCATCTCCTCCCTTCTGCCCGATCTCTTAGGGGCAAGAGACAATGGACGTATGGCTCAGGTCGTTCCATGTGGCAGGGGACGTCTGAGGGCCAGGGCATCATCAGGGCTCAGGGCACTTTGTGCCTGGTGGCAGCGCCGCCCCCAGCCCACCAGGCCGGCTGGACACAGGTACCAGCCACGGGAGAGCCGGCTCACATGTGGAACTGCCAGATGGAGGGCAAGATTGGTGGGGATGGGGGTGAGCAGGAAGAGGAGGACCCTTGTCCCAGCCCCTCTGCTCGGTACTGCAGCAGGGGAGTTGTGCTCCCCTTCCCTGGGACACCCGGAGTAGAGTCAGTGGCACAGCCAGGTGGAGTGGGGCTGGGTCGCTACTGGAAGAGCCCCGAGGCCGGGAGCTGGTGGGCCGCGCGGGAGTGCCGTGCCCGGGCCCGCCTCAGAGCCGAGTGCGTTTGACAAGAGGGTACAGGCGCCTGTTAATTTCACGCAAACTGCCTTTGATAGATCTCTTGTTATTTTTGGTGAGTTGAGCCATAAATTTGTGCCATCTTGCTGCCGCAATCTGTTAAGTGGGGAGAGAGGAAGAAAGGGAAGGCAGGCAGGAAGGAGCTCGGCGGATGCTGGCTGAGGCCGGGGCAGGGATCGGGGGGAAGAGGTAGAGCTGTCACCCTGCAGTTCTTGCCCCACAGACCCTCCAGACCTGATGAGGCCCTGGCCGGGGGGTTCGCTGTGCTGAGTGATACCTGGGAGAGGGCTTCTTTCGCTCTGGCAGCCCTCCCCCTCCTCTCCCACACACCCTGCCCTCCCCGGAGCCACTGTCCCGTCCTTGGCCGGTTGCTGCTCACCCACCTCCCCATCATCCAGGCTCCATTCCTGAGGCAAGAGTTCAAATCCTCACTCCGCCACTGCTGCTGGGTGACTTGGACAGGGGGGCTGCCCCTGGGGGCCTCAGGACCTCCCGTTATCTGTGCATCACTTCCCTGATCCAGCCCCCAGACTCCCCATCATGGCCCAGACTCTTTTCTTTCTTTTTTTTTTTTTTTAAGATTTTTATTTATTTATTCATGAGAGAGAGAGAGAGAGAGAGAGAGGCAGAGGGAGAAGCAGGCTCCCTAGGAGCAGGGAGCCCGATGCGGGACTCGATCCCAGGACTCTGGGATCATGACATGGCCCAGACTCTTGAGCCTGGCCTTCCAGCCCCACCCCAGACCCCGCTGCCCCCTGCTATTCAGCCTTCGCTCTGAATCTGTCCTGCCTTTGACCGGGGCTCCTCACTGGCTCCCCGAGCCCCTGCTTTCTGGACTCCCTGCCTTTGCTTGGGATGTTTCCCTCACCTGGATTGCCCTTTGCCCTTGGTTATCCAGATCTTCCCCATTCTTCCCAGCGCTGTTCAAGCCCTGTTTCCTCTGGGAAGCTACTTCCACCTGCCCAACCCAGTCCTCGATTGGTCCTTCTCCTCCCAGCGCTCAGGCCCTGCTGTCCTCTTTTGGCCAGCCTTGTCTGGTGGCGGGAAGTGCAGCCTTACCTTCTTGTTTGGGGCTCAGACATTGGGGAGGCTGGGCCTCTCTCAGGGCGGGAGACCCCTCCTGGGCAGGGAGACCTAGCACAGGCTGTACATTTCCTAGAAGGACCTTCCAGCCCCAATCTGTGCTGCTGGAGCTCTGTGTGCTACGTCACAGGATGGGGAGGGGGGCCCAGATTCCTGAGACATCTCGGCAGGGACCCAGTCGCAGCCCATCCATCATGCACATCTTCATGTCTTTATCAGGGTGGAGTTTGTGCCAGGCCTTGGGTCGGCTCTGAGTGAATGAGATCTGAGGTGAACCAGACACACCTCCTGCCCTCTGATGGGGGAGAGTGACCACTAGTGTACGGCTTTAAGGTCAAGGCCACAGGCCGAAGTCGCCCAGCCCTGGGTTCAGTTCCCAACCCCACTACTGACTAGCTGTGTGACTGTGGGCAAGTTTCTTCACCTCCATCTTATCACCTGTAAAATGGGGCTAGTAGAGCTATTCACAGAGTAATAGTGAAGATTCAGCAAGAGACTGTGGGTCAGTGCTTAGCACAGTGCCTGGCACATGGTAAATCCCTAATAAATCACTGCGTGTTGTCCTGATTTAGGGCAGTAGGTACGATGTACATGGGCCGGATGTCAAGGGAGCAGGAAGAGTGAGGGATTCAACCACAAAGGGGTGGGAAGGCTGTCTAAAGGAGGTGATTCTGAGTTGGGTTTTGAGGAAGGAATAGGAGTTCACTGGCCCGTGAAATATTTTTTAATTGAATCGCTTTTAAAATTTAATATATTAGGAAGAAATTTCACATCATAAGTGGAAAAGGAGTATCACTTATTTGAAGTAGAAGATAACAGAAGGGACAACCATAGTGAAAACAAAGCAACGGTAGTAAATTCTCGCTAGCTGCTCGTCTCACCTCTCGATTTGTTAGAAAGAGAAATGAGCACGTGCTGGGGACGTGTTGAAGGCTCGGACTGCACGGAGACTTTATCTTGCGTGCATTTGGAAGGATTAAAAGTAAAGCAACCGTATAATTTATCATCTAAACTGGGACATTTGTGAGGTTTTAAAGCAGGGGAGGGGGTCCTATTACTTGCATCAGGGCAGGCATGAACAAGACCACCCCAGGCAGATAGATTGGCAGGAAGTCACCCTAATTAAAAAAGAGACCTGGAAGGGGGAACTGCCTCAGTCCATGATCCAGGGTTGTTTAATGGCACGTTTGTGAGCCTCCCCAAGTCATTTCCTACCACATGCTTTGGGCAACCCTGCAGGAGGGAGCAGCCCATGCAAGGACATGGAAGTGTGAGCGTGTGGGTACAGGGAGGTCTAGTAGACTGGCATTACTGGGCAGTAGCCC